ACCAAGGGTTGGCTATCTTACTACAAATCATAGGCCTTGATAGAGATAGACCCGACCACGTTACAATTTGAACAAACTAGATAGCTATTTATCCAAGCATATCAATGGCCAAATATTAACACCCTAGGCCTTTTGGTTATTCAGAAGTTGTTTAAAGATTTTGAATAACTTTGACACAATGTGACCTTGAATATGTTGAAAGCCATATTGTTTTTAACAAACTTGACAGCCCATAATCCCGGCATGTTAATTGACAAATATCACCCCCAAGGCTTCTTGGTTATCATGAAGTCGGTAAAGGAAAATGTTGACGCCAGACAGACGACTGATGCACCACGCCATAGGCCAGGTGAACTAAAAACTTGAATCCCTTGCAGTGTTTTTGCTTATATTCATACCAAAAAGGGTTAACAACATCACTGGCTTACCAAAGGTCCAAATAGAATCATCAGCATGAATAACGGAGAATAATTCCCCCTGAAAAAAAAAAAGAAAAAAAGGAAAATTATCACACAATAGTCATGTAGTAATAAATATAAGTGTATGGTAAGACCAATAAGGACAGTACTGTTCATGTTTCTGTTATTTTCTGAGTTGATCTACATGTACTTCTTTATACAGCTGATACCCTCAACCCAACGGCAACGGACCAAGGATGCTTTCAAGTTCATAGCTCTACTCTTCATTCATGTACAGTACAAATGAAACTAACAATCGTATACCCGTATTCTGATTCTGTGTAAGATGGACATGGCAGCATCATGTGGCTAATCACAGCACAATATCTGGGGTGTATTTTGATTGCAACAGCCAATGAAAACATAAGGAAGTTGTACGAGAATATGGATCATTTTGGGAACCCAGTGACTTTAAGTGGTTAAGGCGTCTGACCAACTATGATCACTAGCCCTCCACCACCGGTCACAGGTTTGAGGCCCTCCACCACTGGGTCACTGGTCTAAGGCAGTCCACCACTGGGTCACAGGTTTGAGGCCCTCCACCACTGGTCACAGGTTTGAGGCCCTCCACCGCTGGGTCACAGGTTTGAGGCCCTCCACCACTGGGTCACAGGTTTGAGGCCCTCCAACACTGGGTCACTGGTCTGAGGCGCTTTTTATATCCAGCAAACCAAAACTTGTTACTAAGCAAAGGACAAACAAAAATGTTGGCACTTCCTTAAAAACAATAGTCGGAAGAGATGGGGGAAGATCTCATAACCATTTTTTTTTTTTTATCTCAATTGAAAGCTTTTTCACTTGCACTGTCAGCTTTAAGGTAAAAAGTACGTTTCAGGGTGTGACATGATCACATCATTACAATTATCTACATCATGTGATAACAACAAGATGGAGTCATGTGATATAAATCGGACAAAGTGTTGGATCATAATGTTACAATATATGGATATCAAACAGTATATGGTGAAACCAATAAAATGTTTGTTGTTCAAATCCCTTTACCTGTACTCAAGGAATAGAATTTTTGAGGATTTAGGTGGTCTACACTTAGCCTTCAATTTCGATATGACATTATACTCCAAGGGTGCAGAGAGTGAAAGTGAGCATAATCCCCAGAGTATCGAGGATGGACTCTACCAAGTTGTATAGTGTAATATGTACACTTGAATGACCCGAGATGAATTCCATTTACTGTAAGAGTTATAATCGTTAGAATTAATACTGTAAGTTAATCAACATGTAATCGTCATGTTGCTGTAAAATAAATACCAAGATTTTATTGCAGTTTAATGAATTTTGATAACTGATAATAGTTTCAAACATAAACAACATACTCATAGATATATTATCATTTTTGTTGAAAGTGCACATAATAGTATACACTAGTACTTGAACATAATAAGCCGATAATGTCAATATAGAATAAGAATTAAGAATCAAATATTCCTGCGGTTCGCAGCAGAAGCGGGAATAATTTGTCTCGTGTGGTACGAGCAGCAGAAGGCTGTCACGTGTACTCGGGTGGTAGATGTTGTCAGCGTGGTCATTTTTTGTCGCCTTCTCGGGACGTACGGTTCATTCTAAACTTAAGGTTGTATAGGTTTTTTTCTTTCTTAGGGTGGTTCAGTAGGTCTGTTAATGAGTGTTATAAAAAAAAAAAAAAAAGGTCGGCAGCGGTCCAACTGTCACCTCAGAGAAATCGGACTTGCAGAGAAATAATATTTGTCACCTATATATATATAAAGCTATTAACTCCCTACCCGATTATTGACTCAACTGTAAACAATATGGTATTCCAAGATCAACACGACAGGTCATTGTGGTAGGACTGTTTTCGTGGGTGGATGAAAATACCCGTTTTCATCTCGTGGGTGGTTGAAAACATTAAGGATGTATATCCTTTCAACTATAAACAGATCTCAATTATTTTTAAAGAATTTCCGAGAACCAGGAACTTCGTTCAAATTAGCCAGAACGACTTACACACAGCAGTTATGCAACAATGATTGATCATGGAATAACAATGTTAATTGTAACAGTAATCATGTGCATAATACAATCGAAAAAGAGAAAATTCAACAGCCAGGCTTTGATTCTAACACAGGACCTCGAAACTTTAGACTGACGCTCTAACCAATTGAGCTACCTAGTCGCGGGCGAATGATCCAGTCAAGTTCCGCTATATTCCTCCCTCCTTAAACGACGTCTTCAATTTATTGACACACGAGAGTGTATACAATTGTACCACATTCCATGTGAATAATTGTTTTGCGTACAAATTCCCCATTTTGCATTAATTCCATTTGGAACCCCATTACTTTATTACTCCTTGGCCGGATTTGGCATCAGCATCAACCATTGTCAACGCTACGCTCTATTGTAGATCATCTGTTTACATATTATACTAATGTGGAACATAAAGTTATAGGCTCAACTGGAGTATACAGAACAAATAGTACCAGAGTGTAAATGATTGAACTTTAGCTGTAGTGTATTCATCTACGATAATGAAGTGAATTTTGTGAGTTATCTCCCTTAAACTGAAGACCATGCCGATAATGTGACATTTCTTGACCTATAAAGTCTATCCGAGTTCATCAGTTGACAGTTATAATTACAGTGTGTATCCGAGTTCATCAGTTGACAGTTATAATTACAGTGTGTATCTGAGGTCGGTAGTTGACAGTTATAATTACAGTGTGTATCCGAGGTCGGCAGTTGACAGTTATAATTACAATATATATCCGAGGTCGGCAGTTGACAGTTATAATTACAGTATATATCCGAGGTCGGCAGTTGACAGTTATAATTACAATATATATCTGAGGTCGGCAGTTGACAGTTATAATTACAATATATATCTGAGATCGGTAGTTGACAGTTATAATTACAATATATATCTGAGGTCGGCAGTTGACAGTTATAATTACAGTATATATCCGAGGTCGGTAGTTGACAGTTATAATTACAATATATATCTGAGGTCGGCAGTTGACAGTTATAATTACAGTATGTATCTGAGGTCGGCAGTTGCTAGTAGAGTAGGTCTTCGGGGTTTGGTTTGGTTTAGTATTGTTTAACATCCTATCAACAGCTATGGTCATTTAAGGATGGCCTTCCCTGTGTGCAAGATGCATGCGCGTAGTGTATGCATGTGTGTTTTGGGAGGCTGCGCTATGTTCATGTTTGTCTCCTTGTGATAGCACGGAACTGATGCCAACTTTATAGTGCTACCTCACTGAAACATACTGCCCAAGACACCCAGCAGGACACCCCACCCGGTCACATTATACTGACAACGGGCAAACCAGTCATCCCACTGCTAAATTGCTGAGCGTTAAGCAGGAGTAGAAACTACCATTTTTACAGACTTTGGTATGTCTCGGCCAGGGGACAGAAACCAAAGCCTTCCTCATAGGGGCGAACGCTCTTCAAGGACTACAGTATTGATTACAATATACAGGTCGGGAAAAACCACCAACTTACGTATAATATGCAAACTCGCCTATTATACGCCAATTGGGGTATGGATTTGTTACTAAAAATAGCCAAAATCACTTTAAGCTTAACTTTTTCAAATTGTTTGTCCAAGTCACATATATTTAGTCACGAAACATCATACAAATGCAAAAATAAACTTTATTTGCATGTGGGAAAATACAAAAACTAGATGCAATACTTCCGGTAGAGTTACATCAAGTTTCTAAGTTAAGCCAACGTTTTCAGTTAACATCTTTTAGCAAAATATTATTTACCTTGCGATTTTTGATAATACATTGCAAAAGTTAAAGCGATTCGGGTTATTTTTAGTAACAAATCCATACTCCAACTGGATTATAATAGACGAGTTTGCGTATTATACGCAAGTTGGCGGTTTTCCCCAACCCGGTATACATGTATATCCGAGGTCAGCAGTCGGCAGTTATAATGAGGATAACTGAAGCAAGCTGACCGCGAGATACGATAATACATAGGCCTATATATGGTCAACAATTTATCGACATGCACGAGATAAATATAACCGGTAAGGTGTTATTTGTTAACATTTGTCCAATATCCGTAACAGTTATAGTCATATTTGATAAATAACTGTTATAAGTAGGCCTACCTCAAAAAATATTCTGGATCTCACTTCAATCTTTATGTGTTTGGGCTTGATTAGACATTTGATTTCTTTGACGGACGTCCCAGTTGGTATAGCAATTTCAATGAAAATTTCTTCTAACGTTTGACACCAATGTCCCCAATCGGTAATTGAGGGAATGATACCACTACGCTCATCAAAATTAGCCATGGCATGATTGATCATCGCTCTGTGGCGAAACGCTTGAAACAGTAGTAGGCGTATACCGCAATAAATAGCAAACATTCTTGTGATTGAGATCATATGCACAAATTTTGCGACATACACTATTTTTGTATGTTAAATCTATTAAATAATATTAACCTAAAGATATCCAATATTAGAATATGTGTTTCGAGCAAAATTCTACACAATATATTTTATGCCTTTTACGTGTCCTTTATGTGGCGATAATTTCACGACGTTAAGCCTCGACTAGATTGTGGTGTACATGTGGGCCACTTTCATGAAATTGCGTCACTTGTGGTATATATAAATCGACTGTATTATCATTATAACTATTTGTTGAAGACACTGTTATGGAAAGGTAAGTAAAATAGGTTCATATTCCTGTGATATCGTGGTATTGACACATCTGACGTTGTGGCAGTGTTAACACAGAAGCAAGAGGCGGATCACAGAGGTTCGTTATAAACTTAATACAAATGTCCACATATGGAATAATACTGTACTAGTTACAACTGTGGGTCAAAGCACACATATACATACATATCCTAGGCTTTGGACGGATGCAGAATTTTCGCAAGGTGAATACACCATAGATGGCATAAGGATTAATCTGGTGCCTTTTTTTTACAGTGTATCAGACTTTTTTCGATTTTTATACTCTGTGAGTATATGTCAATGATTGAATTAAAAAACCTTTTATTAGGTCAGATCTATTATTATTCTCAGTCTTAATACAAAATACTCTTTTTTATTTTTTACAAGCTGCAATGTGATTTTGATTATATATTTTATTCTAAATTGTGATATCTTGTAATAACATGCCTATTTTACCTGAATAAATATTATTATTATTATTATAGTCAAGCACAGTCTTCTGGGGAATTATATTTCATGATACATTCTGAATTAAGAAATAACAAGGGTGTAAAGCAAGGGGACAGTCTTAGTCCCACAATGATGAACAATAAATGTTTACATCTTTTATGATATTGGTAAATGTTTCAATAAAAATGCTTACAATTAGGCACCAAAAGACCACAAAAAACTTATATAGTAATAGTGATATTAATGTATTTACCTTAATTTCTCTACCTATTTAGTCTATTATTCAATTTGAAATTACGAGAGAATGTTACATGTGTTAACTCCCTTGCATCACTATGTATGTTACAGATGACACTATTATTTGATTATTTTGATAATCATGTTTATAGCACATAAATTTGGTAAACTGATCGTGAGTCGGACACATTTTACAACAGGCCGTCTCTGAACATTGGTAACATAAAGAATGTAAAGAAAAAAGGACCGATTTTAAGTCGGACACAAGTTGATCGTGAGTCGGACATTCCGTTTCTAGTGTATTTTTTAACAAACCGAACTCCGATAGATTCAAGACTATATGTACGTACATACTACTGAAGGCCTTAACCTTAACCTGACTACGAGTGCGAGTGTGAGAAAGATAACGACCCTAAACACAGACACACACGCTAGCAAAGTATAGTGAACATGAAAAATGAAGAGTAGAAGCAGCTTATAAATGAATTTAAACGGTAAGTTCTATTTTATTTTAAACCTGAAATTGCAGTTTAACAACAAATAAATTGTCAGTGACGTTTATAAGATTGATAAGTTATATGTCCCTGAAATTATGTTCATTAGCGTAAACATGTAACTAACAACCAATGCCAATGTTCAATTCTTTTGAAAACAACCCTATGACATGACTTGAAAATTCATTAGGTCACGACAATTATGGGGCTTTCATATTTGATATTAAGTCACCAATATAGTCCATACAACGTGACAATACGAGAATTTGACTTAGAGTTACATGGCTGGTGTTGTTGTACACCTGGTCTTATCCTTGTTCTTTTTTTATTTGGTCGGCTAGTTTCTTTTCCTGTACTCATTTTTTGTGATGGTATATGTAGGTCATCTGAAGTGATAACAATATATTGACTTTCTGGCTTGTTTCTCTTGGATTGCATTTTTGGTGGAAAAATACCACGTGAAATAAAGACGGTTGCTTTCCATTACTCAGCGAAAATTAACTGAAATAAGTTTCATGGGATTTTCACGGGATGTACTTCACTATATTCAACTCGTAGAAAGGAAGTCTGTGACTTGCCTTTCTTGCCAATGGTGATAAGTACGACACTTCCTATATGGTTATAAGAGAACGTATGTATTTTGTCCCCAAGGTATTTGAAAGTGTTTAATTGTACGTGTTAAAGCATAATTAGTTTGTCAATAATTGATGTAATTGTAGTTTCAAAAACAAAGAACTAAGCGGTAGTGGTAAATATTTTGAAGCTTTTGGTTTGAAGTAAAAATGCCTGTGAATGACATTTTCCTCAATCTTATTAAAATCATCTGTTACATGGCTCCGCCTGAACATCAGAATGTGTCGCGGTCAGGGTCACGTTCAAGTGACCTTTAGATGAACCAATCAGAGGGGCGCTGGCAAAAGTTTGCCAGCGAATCGGAATATCTTGGTTGATAGATAAATAGCGAGGAGTATCGAACAGTTTAGTTTTCCAAAACAAATATGGCGGCGGGAACTGACGTTTCTACGACGCCAAGGAAAACGTACCCATTGGGTAATTACGTAGGCAACACCGCCATACAGTCTTTTTCTTTTCTAATAAAGCTTCTAATATCTTTTTCTGTTTGGGTTCCAGACGATCAATCTCAAATAACTTCAGAACTTTCACATTATTCTCATCAATGTCCGCCATATTTGTTACAACTCCGAGCGCCCTTTTGAAAGAAGGTCTCTGATTGATCAAAATTTAATGAGTATTTATAAATATAAAGGTCACCTGAACGTGACCCTGACCGCGGCACACTCCGATGTTCAGGCGTAGTACGAAGTTAACGAAGCCATGTAACATATGATTTTAATCAGATTGACATTTTCCTTAAATAGCAAGGAAAGGAAATTGGCATGAAGATAAGCCGTTTTGAATCGCATTCCTGCTTCTGTATGTACACATCAACAGCATTTGCATCTGTAGGATTACTAATGATTAATGTAGTAGGCTTCTCTGATCTTTAATTTCCTCCCTCCCCAATGGTGCATACCGACTACATATACACACTTTCAATAATTATCTTCTTCATTTGGAATCTGAAATATAACAGATTTAATGGTTTATCCAAAATGTTCTATGCATATCATATTGAGTTCTTGAAATATTAATATATCCTAGTAATTATAATAAAGGTTATTTTAATAGATAAGTTGAATAAAATTCAAGATCTAGCAATTTCATTTAATTTTAAGAACTACCAACGCAATCGAGATTAAATTTGAAGCATATTTCTTGTGATTTTGACTCATTATATGCATAAATTATTGTAACAGTTCACTGAGGTGTCCGACTCAACATCCAAATGACATTGTAAATAAATCTTTCATTCCAGAAATTTATAGCAAATTATTACGTTCCAAACAGATTATTTTTGTTGTTTTAATAAACCACAACCCAAAAGTTCAGTAAAGCACGAAATGTCGTTATCTTCACAAACTAAAATCGAAAAGTTGTTTATCTTAAAATAATCGAGTCAAATTTCAGCATTTTACCTTGTTTGTATTCTCCTGGTCCGTAGCTTCTGGGAAAAGATCTACTATATCAGATGTTGGAAGGGAGTTAACTCGCATAGAGTACAGAATTCAAGGATTAAATCAACCGAAAGGATTAAGCCCGGAGGTTAATCGAAACAGATCTTGAATCCTTTTTAAAATGTGTCCAACTCCCAATCCTGTCCGACTCACGATCAGTTTACCCTATATAGATTACACATACAACGATGAAAATAAATAAGATTGTCTCATTCCCTGTGTGTAAGGTAGAGCTGTCCAGGGTAAGAAAGGGGTGTAGGACATTTTTATCTTACACCCCATTTCATGTGATGTGACGTCACAATGGCTCAACAATGACGTGATGTCACAAATTTGGAACTCTCCAATTCCGCAATGCGGAAAAGGCGGCATGATGAAATTAAAACCTTTAACGATATATATTTACTGTATATGTTAGAAAGATGTGATTAATTTTTCGGAGCAAACGCTGTTTGCAAATATGGGAGATGCTCAATCTGGCTGGTCAATTTGTTTTCGTCTAAAATGCACAGGGGGAAAATTGATATTTTCAAAATGGTGGCCAGTCCAAACACATTTTCATGGTTTCTTGGCCTATTCTGGTGGTTGGAATGAGTGACAAATACTCTTTCATGCCCAAGGTTGTAAGATAGGGAAATTCTACCCTCAGGATTTTAAATTTGGCAAAACCCTTGGCAGAGCCTCAGGTTTTACCGAATTCGGGTGGAAATTCCATATCCTACACCACTGGGCATGAAAAAGTCTTATATTATCAAAACATGTGAAATTACATTTGCAGTACGTATACATGATACATAAAATATGTCATAAAAGAATTATTGAAATAAATAATAATTATCTTGAACATAAGTTGACACAATTTGAAATAAATATTAATGAGTTGATCAATATAATATCAAGATATAACACAATTTTATATCGAAGTGTGTAATGAAAAAAGATTTGATAAAAATAAACAAAATTAACAGGTACAATGTAAAATGAATACATAAACCAACACGATGCTGTTGCTCATCATTTTTTTTTTCATTTGCTCTGCTTTCCCTGATGAGCACTATTGAATACGATTAAGGTATCCACCCTGGGATCCCTACCGTGGCCACTATGGAACGGACTGGGACGTTAAGTCTCCACCCTGCTGGTGTTACTACCGGATTCAGTGGTTGCTCATCATTTCTATTTTCATTTGTTTCCTCTTAATGAAGTTAATTTCTTTCTTTTGTGTCTCAAAGTTGAAGTAACAAACATTTTTACAATGGAGAGCAAGGCTGGTAGCAGTAAGCCTTCAGAGGTCCAGGTGGAAAGAAAGAGCACTGCAAAACTTGATGAAATCCTGCAAATTGAAAAGTGTGTACAGGAAAGGTGGAGTAAAGAGTGTATTTTTGAAGAGGATGCACCTGTTCCAGGCAGTCCTGAGGAAAAGTAAGTGTCACTAGAAATAAAAGATCNGGGGGGGGGTAATGTTTGTGCATCTATCTGTGGAACAGCTCCAAACCAACCATGTATCTGTACAAAACTTTGTACCAAACCAACCATGTATCTGTACAAAACTTTGTACCAAACCGACCATGTTATTTGTGAATTCTTAATTATTTAAAATGTTTTTCTTGTTACCATAGAAACAAATACCAAATTCTGGCATTAATATGAATACTGTTCCTCCACAAAACTTTGTACACTCGTTTTAATTTGAAATTCTTATTTTCATTGTATAGGCGCAATCTGGGATGTCAGATTATTCAAAATGATCTAAATCTCAAAGTACGTCACAATAAATGCACTACTTGCATTGACAAGGCAATACCATAGAGTTTGTATATAGACACCCCTCAATACCATAGAGTTTGTATATAGACATCCCTCAATCCCATAGAGTTTGTATATAGACACCCCTTAATAGGATAGAGTTTGTATATAGACATTCCTCAATACCATAGAGTATGTATATAGACACCCCGCAATACCATAGAGTTTGTATATAGACATCCCTCAATACCATAGAGTATGTATATAGACACCCCTCAATACCATAGAGTTTGAATATAGGCATACCTCAATACCATAGAGTTTGTATATATACAACCCTCAATACCATAGAGTTTGTATATAGACACCCCTCAATACCATTAAGTTTGTATATAGACACCCCTCAATACCATAGAGTTTGTATATAGACACCCCTCAATACCATGGAGTTTGTATATAGGCACCCCTCAATACCATAGAGTTTGTATATAGACACCTCTCAATACCATAGAGTTTGTATATACATGTAGACACCCCTCAATACCATAGAGTTTGTATATAGACACCCTATATACAAACTCCATGGTATTGAGGGGTGTCTATACAGGGTGACATGTAGAACCTGTGTGGTACTGTTGTTTTACAATATACAGGGGGATATGTAGAACCTGTGTGGTAATACCATAGAGTTTGTATATAGACACCCCTCAATACCATAGAGTTCCTTCAATACCATAGAGTTTGTATATAGACACCCCTCAATACCATAGAGTTTGTATATAGACACCGCTCAATACCATAGAATTTGTATATAGACACCCCTCAATACCATAGAGTTTGTATATAGACACCCCTCAATACCATAGAGTTTGGATATAGACACCCCTCAATACCATATAGTTTGTATATAGACACCCCTCATTACCCTAGAGTTTGTATATAGACACCCCTAAATACCATAGAGTTTGTATATAGGCACCCCTCAATACCATAGAGTTTGTATATAGACACCCCTCAATACCCTAGAGTTTGTATATAGACACCTCTCAATACCATAGAGTTTGTATATAGACACCCCTCAAGCATTCCTTTGTTACTGTATGTCAAGTATTGAAGACTTTTTATATATTTGATAAGGACAGTTTCCTTAAAATAGTTGAAACAAATTGAGATGATATTTTATGAGACAATGAATTACCATATTGACTTGATTTACTTTCAGGAAGCCAAAGTATGTCGTCACTTTTCCGTTCCCATACATGAATGGCCGTCTTCACCTGGGACATACGTTTTCTCTGTCCAAATGTGAGGTATGTATCTAACACCATGTGATCATTTTGTCAAATAAAACAGGTTGTTGGACAACTCAGGAATTGAAGTGCAATTTATAGCAATGGACAACTCCGGAATTAGAGTGTATTATAGTGATGGACATCTCGGGTATCAGAGTGTAATTTAGAGTGATGGACAACTCGGGAATCGGAGTGTAATATATAGCGATGGACAACTCAGGAATCAGTGTGCAATTTATAGCAATGGACAACTGGGGGATCAGTGTGTAATTTATAGCGATGGACAACTCGGGAATCAGTGTGCAATTTATAGCAATGGACAACTGGAGGATCAGAGTGTAATTTATAGCGATGGACAACTCGGGAATCGGAGTGTAATTTATAGTGATGGACAACTCGGGAATCACAGTGTAATTTATAGCGAGGGACAACTTGGGAATCAGAGTGTAATTTATAGTGATGGACAACTCGGGAATCAGAGTGTAATTTATAGCTATTCAAATATTTACATTTAGCCAATCATCATGAGATGGTGGGCTGTTGAAATCGACCCTCGTCTGTGGTTCGTCTGTCAGTTGTCGGTCTGTCCTGAAACAATTTTTGTTAGAGCTATTTATCAGAAAGTAGTAGAGGGATCTTTTTCATTTCACATGTAGGTTCACATCAGTTATGCATATTACATTTTTGGACTGAAAAGGGGAAACACTGTTGAATAGCTATATACACAGGGATATGTAGAACCTGTGTGGTACTGTTGTTTTATAATATACAGGGTGACATGTAGAACCTGGGTGATACTGTTGTTTACAATATACAGGGGGATATGTAGAACCTGTGTGATACTGTTGTTTACAATATACAGGGGGATATGTAGAACCTGTGTGGTACTGTTGTTTTACAATATACAGGTGACATGTAGAACCTGGGTGATACTGTTGTTTACAATATACAGGGGGATATGTAGAACCTGTGTGGTACTGTTGTTTTACAATATACAGGGTGACATGTAGAACCTGTGTGATACTGTTGTTTTACAATATACAGGGGGATATGTAGAACCTGTGTGATACTGTTGTTTTACAATATACAGGGGGAAATGTAGAACCTGTGTGGTACTGTTGTTTTACAATATACAGGGGGATATGTAGAACCTGTGTGATACTGTTGTTTTACAATATACAGGGTGACATGTAGAACCTGTGTGGTACTGTTGTTTTACAATATACAGGGGGATATGTAGAACCTGTGTGATACTGTTGTTTTACAATATACAGGGTGACATGTAGAACCTGTGTGGTACTGTTGTTTTACAATATACAGGGGGATATGTAGAACCTGTGTGATACTGTTGTTTTACAATATACAGGGTGACATGTAGAACCTGTGTGGTACTGTTGTTTTACAATATACAGGGGGATATGTAGAACCTGTGTGATACTGTTGTTTTACAATATACAGGGTGACATGTAGAACCTGTGTGGTACTGTTGTTTTACAATATACAGGGGGATATGTAGAACCTGTGTGATACTGTTGTTTTACAATATACAGGGTGACATGTAGAACCTGTGTGGTACTGTTGTTTTACAATATACAGGGGGATATGTAGAACCTGTGTGATACTGTTGTTTTACAATATACAGGGTGACATGTAGAACCTGTGTGGTACTGTTGTTTTACAATATACAGGGGGATATGTAGAACCTGTGTGGTACTGTTGTTTTACAATATACAGGGGGATATGTAGAACCTGTGTGGTACTGTTGTTTTACAATATACAGGGGGATATGTAGAACCTGTGTGGTACTGTTGTTTTACAATATACAGGGGGATATGTAGAACCTGTGTGGTACTGTTGTTTTACAATATACAGGGGGATATGTAGAACCTGTGTGGTACTGTTGTTTTACAATATACAGGGGGATATGTAGAACCTGTGTGGTACTGTTGTTTTACAATATACAGGGTGATATGTAGAACCTGTGTGGTACTGTTGTTTTACAATATACAGGGGGATATGTAGAACCTGTGTGGTACTGTTGTTTTACAATATACAGGGTGATATGTAGAACCTGTGTGGTACTGTTGTTTTACAATATACAGGGGGATATGTAGAACCTGTGTGGTACTGTTGTTTTACAATATACAGGGTGATATGTAGAACCTGTGTGGTACTGTTGTTTTACAATATACAGGGGGATATGTAGAACCTGTGTGGTACTGTTGTTTTACAATATACAGGGTGATATGTAGAACCTGTGTGGTACTGTTGTTTTACAATATACAGGGGGATATGTAGAACCTGTGTGGTACTGTTGTTTTACAATATACAGGGTGATATGTAGAACCTGTGTGGTACTGTTGTTTTACAATATACAGGGGGATATGTAGAACCTGTGTGGTACTGTTGTTTTACAATATACAGGGTGATATGTAGAACCTGTGTGGTACTGTTGTTTTACAATATACAGGGGGATATGTAGAACCTGTGTGATACTGTTGTTTTACAATATACAGGGTGATATGTAGAACCTGTGTGATACTGTTGTTTTACAATATACAGGGTGAGATGTAGAACCTGTGTGATACTGTTGTTTTACAATATACAGGGTGAGATGTAGAACCTGTGTGGTACTGTTGTTTTACAATATACAGGGTGATATGTAGAACATGTGTGGTACTGTTGTTTTACAATATATACAGGGGGATATTTAGAACCTGTGTGGTACTGTTTTACAATATACAGGGGGATATTTAGAACCTGTGTGGTACTGTTGTTTTACAATATACAGGGTGATATGTAGAACCTGTGTGATACTGTTGTTTACAATATACAGGGGGATATGTAGAACCTGTGTGGTACTGTTGTTTACAATATACAGGGTGACATGTAGAACCTGTTAGGTACTGTTGTTTTACAATATACAGGGTGACATGTAGAACCTGTGCGGTACTGTTGTTTTACAATATACAGGGGGATATGTAGAACCTGTGTGATACTGTTGTTTACAATATACAGGGTGACATGCAGAACCTGTTAGGTACTGTTGTTTTACAATATACAGGGCGACATATAGAACCTGTGTGGTACTGTTGTTTTATAATATACAGGGTGACATGTAGAACCTGTGTGGTACTGTTCTTTTATAATATACAGGGTGACATGTAGAACCTGTGTGGCACTGTTGTTTTACAATATACAGGGGGATATTTAGAACCTGTGTGGTACTGTTTTACAATATACAGGGGGATATTTAGAACCTGTGTGGTACTGTTTTACAATATACAGGGGGATATTTAGAACCTGTGTGGTACTGTTTTACAATATACAGGGGGATATTTAGAACCTGTGTGGTACTGTTTTACAATATACAGGGGGATATTTAGAACCTGTTTGGTACTGTTGTTTTACAATATACAGGGGGATATTTAGAACCTGTGTGATACTGTTGTTTTACAATATACAGAGGGATATTTATAACCTGCTAACAGAAACATCCTCTTGAGATGTTAGGTGAACCAATTATAATGGAATTGTATACTATCATCACATACTATGCACTCGTTACAGTTTGCTGTGGGTTATCAACGTTTGCAAGGAAAGAAATGCCTGTTTCCTTTTGGCCTTCACTGTACTGGTATGCCTATTAAGGTATGTTACTTCTTTCATTTTGTTTTTCAGATTTTTGCCTTTGCAAATAATGTGTTTTCATAAATTATCAATTCATGTCATAAAACAACACAATAAAGATAAAAGAATGCAACTTGTTAGTCATACTTGCGAAGTGTGGTGTGTAATTAGAAAATTAGATTATGTAGAAATACCTTGGTTTCAGGCTTGTGCAGACAAACTGAAGAGAGAAATGGAGACATATGGCTTCCCCCCAGAATTCCCCACTGAAGATGAGCCAGAAGATGAAACACCTAAGGAGGAGGAACCGATTTTCAAGGACAAGTCGAAAGGAAAGAAGGTAAAGGGCAGAAACCATGTCTAAATGTTTGGATGTTTTACATGAAGTTAAGTGATCTGTGATATAACCAGGTGAACACACCTATCTCATGTTATGTTACATGAGTACATTGTTTTTGTTGGAACAATATATCTTATGATTTTACAGAACATTTTAAGAACTGGTCATAATTTATGCAATAAAAGAAAGTCTTCTCTGCATGTATTAAAAAAATTGCATGAATTTGCATGCCATCTCTATTGCTGTAAATTAATCTTCTTATAAAATCTTCTCAGAAATATGATATGTTGCTGTGATAAGAAAAGAAAAAAACAGAACCGCTGAAATGAATTATTAATGCTGTTGTCCATTTGTCTATGGTACAGAGTAAGGCTGTTGCTAAAAGTGGGAATCTGAAGTACCAGTGGCAGATCATGTCAGCTCTGGGTATACCTAATGATGAAATCAAGAAGTTTGCAGACTCACTCCACTGGCTCAAGTACTTCCCACCCCTCACAAAGACAGATCTGCAACATATGGGTGTCAAGGTAAGCACAGAACAGACTGGTAGTAGAAGTTGTATAATAAGTAAGTATATTAGGTAGTTGTATCATAAAAATGGGTTTTACACAAACAAACAAAAAATCTAACATCATACATAGGCTTACGGTAATGACAGAATACCAAAGGTAATGACAGAATATCAAAGGTAATGACAGAATACCAAAGGTAATGATAGGATACCAAAGGTAATGACAGGATACCAAAGGTAATGACAGGATACCATGACAGGATACCAAAGGTAATGACAGAATACCAAAGGTAATGACAGGATACCAAAGGTAATGACAGAGTACCAAAGGTAATGACAGAGTACCAAAGGTAATGACAGGATACCAAAGGTAATGACAGGATACCAAAGGTAATGACAGGATACCAAAGGTAATGACAGAATACCAAAGGTAATGACAGAGTACCAAAGGTAATGACAGGATACCAAAGGTTATAACAGGATACCAAAGGTAATGACAGGATACCAAAGGTAATGACAGGATACCAAAGGTAATGACAGGATACCAAAGGTAATGACAGGATACCAAAGGTAATGACAGGATACCAAAGGTAATGACAGGATACCAAAGGTAATGACAGGATACCAAAGGTAATGACAGGATACCAAAGGTAATGACAGGATACCAAAGGTAATGACAGGATACCAAAGGTAATGACAGGATACCAAAGGTAATGACAGGATACCAAAGGTAATGACAGGATACCAAAGGTAATGACAGGATACCAAAGGTAATGACAGGATACCAAAGGTAATGACAGGATACCAAAGGTAATGACAGGATACCAAAGGTAATGACAGGATACCAAAGGTAATGACAGGATACCAAAGGTAATGACAGGATACCAAAGGTAATGACAGGATACCAAAGGTAATGACAGGATACCAAAGGTAATGACAGGATACCAAAGGTAATGACAGGATACCAAAGGTAATGACAGGATACCAAAGGTAATGACAGGATACCAAAGGTAATGACAGGATACCAAAGGTAATGACAGGATACCAAAGGTAATGACAGGATACCAAAGGTAATGACAGGATACCAAAGGTAATGACAGGATACCAAAGGTAATGACAGGATACCAAAGGTAATGACAGGATACCAAAGGTAATGACAGGATACCAAAGGTAATGACAGGATACCAAAGGTAATGACAGGATACCAAAGGTAATGACAGGATACCAAAGGTAATGACAGGATACCAAAGGTAATGACAGGATACCAAAGGTAATGACAGGATACCAAAGGTAATGACAGGATACCAAAGGTAATGACAGGATACCAAAGGTAATGACAGGATACCAAAGGTAATGACAGGATACCAAAGGTAATGACAGGATACCAAAGGTAATGACAGGATACCAAAGGTAATGACAGGATACCAAAGGTAATGACAGGATACCAAAGGTAATGACAGGATACCAAAGGTAATGACAGGATACCAAAGGTAATGACAGGATACCAAAGGTAATGACAGGATACCAAAGGTAATGACAGGATACCAAAGGTAATGACAGGATACCAAAGGTAATGACAGGATACCAAAGGTAATGACAGGATACCAAAGGTAATGACAGGATACCAAAGGTAATGACAGGATACCAAAGGTAATGACAGGATACCAAAGGTAATGACAGGATACCAAAGGTAATGACAGGATACCAAAGGTAATGACAGGATACCAAAGGTAATGACAGGATACCAAAGGTAATGACAGGATACCAAAGGTAATGACAGGATACCAAAGGTAATGACAGGATACCAAAGGTAATGACAGGATACCAAAGGTAATGACAGGATACCAAAGGTAATGACAGGATACCAAAGGTAATGACAGGATACCAAAGGTAATGACAGGATACCAAAGGTAATGACAGGATACCAAAGGTAATGACAGGATACCAAAGGTAATGACAGGATACCAAAGGTAATGACAGGATACCAAAGGTAATGACAGGATACCAAAGGTAATGACAGGATACCAAAGGTAATGACAGGATACCAAAGGTAATGACAGGATACCAAATGTAATGACAGGATACCAAAGGTAATGACAGGATACCAAAAGTAATGACAGGATACCAAAGGTAATGACAGGATACCAAAGGTAATGACAGAATACCAAAGGTAATGACAGGATATTAAAGGTAATGACAGAATACCAAAGGTAATGACAGGATACCAAAGGTAATGACAGGATACCAAAGGTAGCAGTGTACAGTAGAAATGGCCCGACTCTGATAAACAAGGCACATGTCGAGGAAATGTAAACACAGCAGATTTACCCTACACAACACATGTATACATGTATATATATTTGTAAACTGCATTACATTTACAATACATATAAAGTACTAAGAAGTGTATAAACCTCTTTTTCCTATGTATGACACTTGTGTGAAAACCATGGTTACCACATCAAAAATTACCAAAAAATGCCAAAAATTGCTATTTTTGACCCAAAATTCGACCCCGCAACTAGGGTCAAGATCTTTTGCCAGTAGGTACCTTGGATGAATGCTATAAAAAAAATCCTCAAATAAATTACGTTGACATGTGGCTTAACTTTCTAGTTGTGACACCAGGTGCCCGGAGAGACACAGTGGTAAGGTAAGTTGTACAGATAAAACAGAGTCCTAAGTGGTACAATGTGGGCTATTTCAGTGACTTATAGGGCCTTTAAAAGCAGAATCCACAGAAGACAACCTCTGAGAGAGTTCCACATTATTCACCTCCTAAGATCTTATGTAGAACACTGAACATAATGAACCATTTGGGTATTCATTGGACAGGTGGACTGGAGGCGCAGTTTTATCACTACAGATGAGAATCCATTCTATGACTCATTTGTAAGATGGCAGTTCTACAGGCTCAAAGGAAAAGACAAGATTAAGTTTGGCAAAAGGTAGGATATGTGCGCAATTTTTTTTTTATAAATTAATAAAAGCTTTTCACACATTTGGAGCAATATTAACAAAACTAATCTCCTCCCATATTACAAGGTAAAATTTTTAGTTGACCATCATAAGATAGAGGACTGTTAGCTGACCATCATAAGATAGAGGACTGTTAGCTGACCATCATAAAATAGAGGGCTGTTAGCTGACCATCATAAGATAGAGGACTGTTAGTTGACCATCATAAGATAGAGGACTGTTAGCTGACCATCATAAGATAGAGCGCCATTAGCTGACCATCATAACATAGAAGGCTGTTAGCTGACCATCATAAGATAGAGGGCTGTTAGCTGACCATCATAAAATAGAGGGCTGTTAGCTGACCATCATATGATAGAGGGCTGTTAATTGACCATCATAAAATAGAGGGCTGTTAGCTGACCATCATAAGATAGAGGGCTGCTAGCTGACCATCATAAGATAGAGCGCCATTAGCTGATCATCATAAGATAGAGGGCTGTTAGCTGACCATCATAAGATAGAGGGAGAGGGCTGTTAGCTGACCATCATAAGATAGAGGGCTGTTAGCTGACCATCATAACATAAAGGGCTGTTAGAATTGACCTTTGTCTGTAGTCCATGTTTTGTCCATCCCTCCCTCATTCTGTCCATTCGTCCTTAAATATACAATTGTTTCATGGCTATTTGAGGAACAATCAAAACTATCACCCCGAGGTAGAGGGGAGCTCTGGCAAACAGTTCCACAGGGCTTCCCCCTCCTGGGGGATGGTAGTTTTGACTGTTCCCTACATAGCAATGAAACAATTGTTTTATTACCCAATACATATTAGTATCAATGCTGCATGTAAACATCATTACATCCCTGTTAGAATTAGAATCCCTTGTTTCTAGGAGATCGGCTAACTCCACTGATGATCATCAGTGTAACGTACTCCTTTGCATTACTTATGCTTTCTCTTCTTAATTTCCACTGCCACCAGTTCAAATTAATTGTGAATCTCTCCACTCCAGACTTATCTCCACCTATAAACTGTAAAACTACACAGATCTACAAACTACAGCTAAAACTACTATTATTAGGCCAGACTTGGTTCTGGGGCCAATATTTTAGGTCACCTGAGCTTTGCTCAAGTGTCCTTTTCTAATCGCTTTCCGTCCGTCGTCGTTCGTCGTCCGTCGTGCGTCGTGCGTCGTGCGTAAACTTTTTACATTTTCAACTTCTTCTCAAGAACCAGTGGATGGATGGCGGGGCCCCAAAGGGAAAATTAACCAATATTTCAAAAATCTTCTTCTTCAGACTCAGAGGTACTACAGTCATTTTCTCTACATGAAAAGAAAGATCATCAGGGGCTTTACTTAAATTGTAAATTTCAGGACCCCCGAGCTATCCGTTCTCCCTTGGGGAGGGGGTAAAGTTTACTATAGTTTATATAGGGAAATAACACTTTTGGGTATATTTTGACAACTTTCTGTAGGAAATTATTTTTACTTGGTGAGAATTATCCTTGGAGGTAGATGGTTTCAAATTGTAAAATTGAGATTCCTACCCCGACCCCTGGGGCCAGGGCGGGGCCCCAAAGGGAAAATTAATCAATATTTCAAAAATCTTCTTCTCCAGACTCAGAGGTACTACAGTGATTTTCTCTACGTGGAAAGAAAGATCATCAGGGGCTTTACTTAAATTGTAAATTTCAGGACCCCCGAGCTATCCGTTCTCCCTTGGGGAGGGGGTAAAGTTTACTATAGTTTATAGAGGGAAATAACACTTTTGGGTATATTTTGACAACTTTCTGTAGGAAATTACTTTTACTTGGTGAGAATTATCCTTGGAAGAAGATGGTTTCAAATTGATGGATTCCTGCCCCATCCCCAGGGGCTAGGGCAGGGCCCCAAAGGGAACATTTACCAATATTTTTAAATTCTTATCCTTTGATGTCATGACAAGTATTGTATTTCACTTAGTTTACATGCTGATTTCCACATACATCTAAACAATAAAATAAAGCTACCAGTACCTATGATATAACTCAGGTGACCGCTAAGGCCCTTGGGCCTCTTGTTTCAAAAGTGATGCGGCAGGAAGGTAATTAATTTTTTCATTTAACATGGCAAAAATGAGACGATGGCGATTTTTTTTTCGTTGTGTAGTTTTTTATTACTTTCACAATAAAATTGGCAATGCAGTGCCCTAAAATGAAATGCGCGCGGGCCTGAGAACCAAGTAATCAATTTTTTTTGGCCTTACTAGCTTCCTAATTATGTCTCCCCTTCGAATGAAGGGAGACATATTGTATTAGTACTGGTTCTTCTTCTTCTTCTTCTTCTTCTTCTTCTTCTGGTTCTTCTAATCTGACTTGTCCGGGCCATAACTTTTAAACCATTAAAGATATCTTGATGACACTTTAGGTATGCATGCATCACCCACAGGAGGGGTGCAGTGCACTGGAATTAGGTCACTGTGACCTTCACCTCAAGGTCAAAGGTCAAATAAGTCAAACTTGAAGTATACCTGCATCTCACTCACAGAAGGTGTGCAGTGCACTGGAATTAGGTCGTGCGTCACTTTATACAGGGTTATGGCCCTTTGTTTATATTTAATACCGAAGTTTGTCCACCGCATAATTTCCATGTTATTAGGGCCCCGCATCAAAGATGCGGGTGCCCTATACTTATTCATTCGTCCATCCGTCACAATCAATCAGGTATCAACTGCCCAAAGGTCAAGGTAACTGGGTCAAAAGTCAAGGTCAAATTTTGTATCTTTTCCCTGATGAACATTTTGTTGTGACATTATGAAGCAAAGTTGGTTGGAATTTAACAAAGAGTCAACTGACTTAGGTCAATGTCACTGGGTCAAAGGTTAAGGTCAAATTCAGTATCTTTTCACTGGGGAACATTTTGTTATAACACTTTGAAGCAAAGTTGGTCGGAATTAAACAAGGAGTCAGTTGACCAAAGGCCAAGGACAAAGGCCAAGGTCAAATTTTGTATCTTTTCCCTGATGAACATTTTGTTATGACATTATGAAGCAAAATTGTTTGGAATTTAACAAAGAGTCAACTGACTTAAGGTCAAGGTCACTGGGTCAAAGGTGAAGGTCAAATTCAGTATCTTTTCACTGGTGAACATTTTGTTATAACACTTTGAAGCAAAGTTGGTCAGAATTAAACAAGGAGTCAACTGACTTAAGGTCAAGGTCAATTTCAAGGTCAGATATTGTATCTTTTTTACTGATGAACATTTTTTGTATGTTATTATGAAGCAAAGTTGTTCAGAACTTAACACAGAGTCAACTAACCAAAGGTCAAGGTTACAGGTTCCAAAGGTTCAAGGTCAAGGTCTAGTTTTGTATTTTTCACTGCTGAACATTTTGTTATGATATTATGAAGCAAAATTGGTCAGAATTGAAGAATGAGTCAACTGACCAAAGATCAGGGTCACTGGTTTAAAGGTCAAGGTCATTTAGGTCCAAAGGTCAAAGACAAAGTGGATCTCTTACTTTGACCCTGGCTCTTGATGGGGGAAGTATTTAAGGTGAAATACAACAAATCAAAGCTAACAAATGAGTATTGCACTTGTAGATACATCATAGTACATGTAAAATGTATATTTTGCTTCCTTGCAATTTTTTTTGAAGTCCAAATGTCAAACATCAAGTTCAGCTATATGGGCAGATTGCTTCTTGATGATTATGGGGGATATATTGCCACAAGACGGGGCCCTTACTGACCTGTCAGTGTTCTAGTTTGTCTTGATGATAATGGGGGATATATTGCCACAAGACTGGGCCCTTACTGACCTGTCAGTGTTCTAGTTTGTCTTGATGATAATGGGAGATATATTGCCACAAGACGGGGCCCTTACTGACCTGTTAGTGTCCTAGTTTGTCTTGATGATAATGGGGNAGGTCCAAAGGTCAAAGACAAAGTGGATCTCTTACTTTGACCCTGGCTCTTGATGGGGGAAGTATTTAAGGTGAAATACAACAAATCAAAGCTAACAAATGAGTATTGCACTTGTAGATACATCATAGTACATGTAAAATGTATATTTTGCTTCCTTGCAATTTTTTTTGAAGTCCAAATGTCAAACATCAAGTTCAGCTATATGGGCAGATTGCTTCTTGATGATTATGGGGGATATATTGCCACAAGACGGGGCCCTTACTGACCTGTCAGTGTTCTAGTTTGTCTTGAT